ATTCATGATTATTAAGTCATTGTTCTTTAATATCGGTTTTATCAACGTATGTTTGGAGTGAGCATGAAAAAACATTACTTTGACAGGGCGAGAATGACTTTCTGTGGCAAATGCGCAATATGTACGATCAAACAAAATAATGTCAGTCGAGATATCAGAACTTGAAATTGCACTCCCACGTTGTATGTCTGTAGAACTTACAGACTCCTGTAAGCATCATAAGGGCTTTGGATTTTTGTACGGTTTTTGAGAAATATTATCACAACAGGCTGTGTTTGATTGTATAGTAAAATCTCTGAAAAACAGTCTTTGATGGAAGACTTCAGATGAAAATGATATGGACGCTTTCAACAGCATGTCATCTATTTAAATCAAACTTGTTCTCTGATATACCTGTAAATGGTATGAGTGATTACACCAATTAAAATTAATGCAGGCTGTCTTTGGTACTCCAGTATTTCAGGATTTGTTGCCAACTGATTTAATCATTTCTCATGGGGATAACAATAATCGGTGGTAGATATTTTGTATAATAAAAAGTGGAAATGAAACTTTAATGTTGTGAAGAATATTTTGGAATTGATTTAATATATGAATTTTATTGCAGGCAACAAATGTTTGAGTTTGACTCTAAACTGCCAGATAAAGATAATGATGTGTTCCATTTTGTTGGTTACTTACCAATCAATGGCAGGCTGTATGAATTGGATGGATTGAAGGATGGACCAATAGATTTAGGTAAATATTCAGTCTGCCATGGTCCTTTTAATTCTATCTCACATTTCCTCATTGCTCATATAGTATGCATCTTCTAATGCAGTGTTGCTATGACAATTAATACTGACAGAAATTCATTGAATTGTTAATTTTGTTTGCAGGTAAATGTGATCAGAATGATTGGTTGAAAGTTGTCAAGCCTGTTATAGAACAAAGAATGCAAAGGTAAGCCTTTAGTTGCTGTATTACCACAGAAACCTGCAGTTGACATAGTCTCTGTTACAATGCAAAACCTGTAAGTTGATGTCTGATTGTCTAGCATACACCCTGACATGTCTTGTAAACTGAAATGAGATAAGTAGAATTTAAATTTCTTGAACAAGAAAAATCACTGAATTTGAGCAGTGAAAATATATGTGGCGTTCTTACATGGAGTCACAGTGACTTTCTTCTGGGATTAGTGTGATCAGTTGCAGTGTTCAATGTGTTCACACCAAATAATAATAAATTTTCCTGAATTTCAGTATAAATTGCGAAAACATGAAGCCTTTCAAGAAAAGTAAAAATTACACTATATACAAATATTTTGCATTGAAATGGAAAGTATTTTTCTGTCTCAGAAATCCAGTTAGCTAGTTATGCAATTATTAATTACAAGTGGATGCAACATCTCTGAATGACATGGTACATCAATGTTTTCTGCTTGCAGGTATAGTGCAGAAGAGATTCACTTCAATCTGATGGCTATTGTATCTGAGCGTAAGATGATTTATAACAGGGAGAAAGAAAAATTGGAAGCTAGATTATTAGCATTACAAGGACAGGTATGAAATCTACCATGGAACGACCATGTGGTTAAATAAAATTGTGCCACAGCAAACAAATCAGTCTCGGCCAAATAAAATCTGGTATCTTTTTATGACAGAGATATTTATAATACAGCTAGGTTATCTGTGTAGCATTTTAGTCCCCGTTCGGATGCAGTCCGAAAACGGTGACTTATGTTTCGACCTCCCTGCATATGTGCGTGCATGTGTCCGGACCTGTATCTTAGAAATGCCTGAACTAATCACAATCAAACTTCACACATACATCATGCATGATGTGTATGTATAATATGTATAATACATATGCACCTTAATTTGTTTTACGATCTGATTCAAGATGGCCGAACGGCGGCCATTTTTGTTCTAAAAATCATCAAAATCAAA